GCCAGATGTGAAAGGCTTGGCAAATGCACAGTTCAGCTACTGGAAAAGTGTTCAGTTCTTTGGTTGTGAAACAAAGCTCTTGGGCTTAACAAGTCTCTTCCTCACCCTTCACATGACAACCACAGAACTTGTCCATATCTTTTGGCAATTAGTCTCAGAATCATCAGATTTTAGAACTGGACTGGATCTTAGCTTACCCCGGGTACCCTCAATTTACAAACGAGAAAATAGAGGCCAAGAGAGGTTAAGTGACTTGCCAAGAGTCAGAGAATTAATGAGTTGACGGGGTGCAGAGACCCAGATCTCCTGACCACCAGACCAGAATCCTGAAGAATGAGTGTCAAAAAAGCCCAGGACACATATATATGGTGATGGATAGAAATTAGACTCTTGGTGGTAAGCATGATGCAGTCTCTACAGAAACTGATAAATAATAATGTCCACCTGAAACTATACAATGTTATAAACCATTTATGATCCCCTCAATAAAATAACGGGGAAAAAAAGCCCAAGAAACTCTACAGGTTATGTAATCAGAAATCTAATCAAAAAGAAAAGTTTGGGAATGAACAGAGTAGCTTCAAGTGTAAATCAATCCACAACTTAAGATATTTCCAGATATTCCTTCATGTTTTAAAAGCAAGTAAGTATACGATAATTAAGGAAAAAATAGGCTAAAGCATTACACTGTTGTGTATGTGGTTTTTCTTTTTAAACCCACAGCCATTTATTTTCTCATTATTAATAGTTTTCAGTGTAATATCTTATACACTTAGTGACTATTCCATTCCGCTGACCTCTAACTTACGCTTTCCAGTAATCGAAAGCAGCTGATTGTAACGTGCCGGTGCTTTAGTGTGAAGGAGGTTATGGCTGCGTTTGTGTGCAATCAGGTTAAGACTGGCTCCAACAGGAGAAAAATCCGTACACATGTTGAAAAGATCTGGAAAATGCCTGTATTCCCAACCTGATTACGACTTACATTTTTGCATGGTTTGTCAAAGCAGATCACTGAAATCAAGTCAAGATGTAAAATGGGAAAAAGTGGTTTTCTTCTCCATTCTTCCATTAATCGCCATGACCTATGGAAGAAAGGAACTTTTCCCTCTCTTACCTGAGGCAAGGTGGGGTACTCCACTGGAAGTTATGCCAATTTTTGCCAATTGGTGCTCAAATTTCAAAATTAATTTTCTAGTTTTCATTTCTTATGTTTGTAAATAAAAGTTATTTTATTGCGGAGTAATTTTACATTTCTATCAACAATTCTATTTTAGTTCCCTTTTTACAAAACATAAAACAAAAAATTCCAACATAACTTTTTAAACCTACTAACTTTTTAAACTTACTAACCTTTTATATAACTTTAAAGGTTATAAAAAAATTGAATTCATTAAACTGAAAATGTATATACAGGAATTAGAGCGATAGCCAGTCTATCCTAATAAATAATACTTGGTAAAACCTAAATACAAACTAAATCCGAGTTCACTACTGGTTCACTTGTCAAAAAGAGAATATTAGCAGATGATACATAAGCATTTGTTTTGACATAATAGAATATAACCTGACACTGTCAGGAATTTAAGACCGTATACTGTTGTTGAAAGCATAAAAAATAAAAATGCAGTAAACATTATAGGTTAACAATCTAACTTATCTACAAAATTCTCAAGCAAGTCTGGAGCTGGGTCAAAATAGTTTCGAAGAGGAGGGGAATGTGCTGGCTCTTGTTACACATAAGCATGTTTGTTATAGGAGCATTTTCAGGTTAATTTTTGCTATTAACGTAAACCACAATTGGGGGACCACGTTGCTGGAAGAGGAATGGGGGGGTAGTTATATAAACAATATTCAACAAAGAAAGTCTTTATTTCCATTACCTGAATACATCAGGTTTGTTTTTAGGCACAACGTTGCAGGTTAAATGCTCTCAGCTATCCAAGAAGTGGCTTATTAGTTTTGTAAGAAAATATTTTCTTATATTTTGACTGAAAAATACCCAGTTTAACTGAACAAAACCATCCTTGTTAGTGAAAAGCAGACCCAAAAAAACTTTGTTTCAAAGACCCCGCAGAAAAAAAGCAAAACTAATTCAAGAGGAAAAGCTGTCTTCCTCATAGCAGCTTCTGAATCTGGATCTAATAGTTCTCAAAGGCTGGCTGGAGTCTTCAAGTCTTAAAAGTTTTGTCTTCCTCCATGGGTCATAGACAATCTCTATGAGGCAGCATAATACAGATATAAATCCATTTTAAGCAGATATATACTCTCTGGGCTCTAGTCGCAAAGCTGAAAAGCTATGCACCAACAGCAAGAATGAGGCAAACAAAAGTGTTGATTGTTATAGGGCAATTTTCCACATGCAACTTTCTTTTTTGCTTTTCTATTTTGGGCACTAGAAAAATCCCAACTTCATCTCTGGCAATTTAGCATCCGCTAGTGATAAAATAAACGATAAAAAGCGATTATGCTTTAAGAACCACAGTGACAGAGCTAAGAACTGCATTTCAACATACTGACTCAGCCTCAACCAGCACCTGAGCTATGTATGCTTCTCTTAATTTGTAAATGGGCCTAATCCTGTTATTACAGAATAATTACTGCAAATCAGCACAATTACTACAAAGACATGAATAAACACACACATACCAGTAGCTGTTTTCTACAAATTATTATCAAAACAAAGAGAACCAGCTAATTGTGGTAACATTAAGACAACATTTATTCTTCCCAGTGTTTGGGCAAGTTTATTTTAAGTTGTCATCTTCAACTAGTAACAATGCAGATGATTTTACAGATTCCATAAACCTTTCTAATCTAAACTCTTCTCAACTGAAAGTTGGTGCTTCCCTAACAGCAACATCTGCAAAAGCCTGATTTCATAAGAACCACTTTTACGGTACATTAGCAAAAAAAACCCAACATATACACACACTTTTAGAAATCGCATTTTAGAAAGCTCATTTGTAAGGTACTCTTCTGAATTATTTCCAAGGTACCACGAAAGTAAAGGAAATATTCACTATATTATTCTTCACAATTTAAGCATTCATTTGCAAGAACGTACAATGTGGAATTTTACCCTCTCACTAATGTTATTATCAAGTTTCCTTCGTGAATAAATACTCTACTGGGAGGGAGAGTGGTTAGAGAGGAGGAGAATTCAGACAGCACACAGCCCACAACAGTGATTATCCAGACTCACCTCCTGGACAATGCCTCATGGCCATCTTACATCTCCTAGATTCAGCGATGGTTGGACATGGTATCGTGTCTTTTGCAGGCTTTTTAACAATTTGCCGTGTTCTGGTTTCCAGACCCCATTTAAATCCACACGTGCGATTATTTCTGCTACAAGTTCCCCATTCACTCCAATGACCAACTTCACATCCTTCTAATAAAAATAAAACAAAAAAAATTCAAACAGATAATTTGGTGTCCATTTTCTCCAATGTCATCTAATTTATATAGCAATGTTTCTCTATTCCCACCACCTTCAGATACCAAAAATTAAGTTGTACAGCCCACAAAGACCTATATTCGCCTTTCAGGAACTTTAATTCTTTGAACCATAGGGTTACTTTCATCTACAACAAACGACTGTCACATAAGTAATTTAAAATCTATTACTTTCTATTTGTCTTAGTTCGTTTTTTGAAGGGATGCTACTGGTCCATTCTAAAGACACTAAAATATATAATCTTTAACAATTCAACACCTAAAACCTACAGTAGAAGATATTATTTTCATACCATGACAGAAGACAAAATTTTACAGGTTAATTCTGAATGCCCCCACTGAAATTCACAAGTGTGTTAGTTTTATTCTGGAACTAAGTACTTGGTGAAAAGGATAGGGAGTTTGTTTCCTGTTTTCTGATTATCTCAATTCTTTCAATAGGAAACCACAGTATGTATTTCTTTTTCCTTAGATTGGTGCTCTATGTTACTCTAGTTTAAAAAGTAAGTAAATAGGGTCACATATTTGAAAATGCGTGTTTTTCCTAAATATATAAGCTTTTAGCATTTCTTTTTGTAAGTTCATATAGTGGAAAAGTAGGCTACCCTTCAACCCCCTCGGCTGAGGGAGGGAACAGAAGGATAAAAATATGCAAAGTTAAATGTCCTCATCAAATTCACCGCTAAACAGCCTCTTCACACTAGCAGATGAGGACCCAGGCCCAGAGTCCACACACAATATTTCAGCATTCCAGATCTCAGCAGGCTTCACGGTTACTCTTAGATTTTTCAAAGCTATTTAAGATTTTTATTCAAGGGAATGCATAGAACTCTATTTGTAATTTGTTTATATTTAAAGGTTTCATAAGCATTTCCATTGAACATTTGTAATGGGTGTGGGTTTTGCCTCTCAAAAGCAAATTCGACATTCTGAATATGCTCTTCTAGTGACTTTATCTTTTAATAGGGTGTCGCCTGTATAAATGCATTAACTCACACATAAATAGGAAAGTAAATACACATTTCTTCAAAAACCTCTCATTTAAATGGGTTCTCTGCAAGCTTTCAAATATATAATTACAGACTATTTCAGCAATATTTCTGCAGGAAAAAAAGTTCTCAATTTTCTTTAAATCTCCATTTTAAGGAGACGGAAAATCTCATTTATAATACACAGCTCTGTTGTACATCATATCAGATGTATAATACGTCATATACAATTCAGCGTGGCAGGGGTCGGGGTGGGAGTGGTGAAGACCCCATTACACCTAAGATTAGATTCAGACATTAGTCAAAACGTAGGTCCTGACATCTTTACCTTTTAATTAGTGGTATAAAGATACCAAACTGTTTTTTCAAACACTCAAAAAATATAAAATTAATAAAATATGTATTTGTAATTATTATTCACAAACATTATATATGTATATATTAAATTATACATTCTAGATATCTAAATTTAGTAAAAGTAAAATTGTTTTAATGCACTTTGCAACATGCAGTCTATCATTAACAGAATATATTTGGCACAAAAAATTTCTTTCTGTTTTTTTTTTTTTTTTTTTTTTTAACCCAAATGGTTAAGCAGGAAGCTCCACAAGTAATATACATAACAAAAGTGATAGACCCGTTAACTACATGGTACTACTTGAAAATTTTGTTTTTCTTCTCAACAAAAATGTTTTTCTCTAACAGTTACTAAAAATTTAAGATAATTAAGAAATGGATGTATTACACAGATGACAAACATTATTATCACCATTTAAATAGTTTAACCCAGCAAATGTACAACTAGCAAATTTTGTAGCACGATGTAATACACAAGACTACCCAACGTCATGATGGCTAAAGAATTCAGCAAGTCAGCACAGAATTTAAATAATTTTCAGTTCCAATTAACAACAAGAGAACCAATTTGTTTTTAGGTTGACTATATCCAGCATGTTTTCAAGAAACAGGTGTTAAAATAAAAGTTGAAATTTGAAAGTTACATGAAAAACTACTCACCCACACATTCCATGCTTTCATCTAATGGTGCAAAACCATCTGGACATTCATCAAAGCAACGGCCTCTATGCAAATAAAAGCCTACTTTGCACTTGGTACAAAAGTCTTTGCTAAAGCAGGAATCACAGTTTTCTATTCTGCATCCTAAAAACAATTTTAAAGAGAAAAAGAAAATTTCAGTCAAAGAAGCTTACTTGTTTTGCAAATAAAACTTCCACAGACTCACCAGTTAGTTCAATTGAAATTCAAGTGGTCAGAGAAATATGTGGTCAGCTCATTTGTTTCCTAATGTTAGCCATCTCATTCTAAATAACTCCTACTGCTTCCAGCAGCTCACCACATCAATAAGCTAAGACAAAATTGCAGCCCAAGGCCCTGGGTAGCTTGAGACCCTTCAGAAATATTTGCAACTCCAAATAGGATTAAAACAAAGAATTAAAAAGAAAAAGAAAACATCTCCACTACAAATTACATCGCTGCTGGGATTGAAATCTGTTCTGGTCTTCAAAATACCTACAATGAAAAACACAATGGGAATACTCTAATCAGTATCTTCTGTTTCCGTACAGAAAAATAAAATTCTGTTTAATACTAGCCAATGCTGGCATTTGCTCTTATCAGAAGGTGTCTTAACTTGGAGAGGTAGTTGAGGTCATGTTTTTGAAAACTTTCAATGTGCCAAAGGCTTTACACGCATCTCCATTTAGTTCAGAATAATCCTACAAGGTGGGCAGTAGTATCCCTATTTTTCAAAGAAGGAATTTGAGGCTAAGAGAGATTAAGTCAAATAGCTAGTAGCGGCTGAGTCGGTTCTGAAAGCCCCCAAAACTCATTGGCTTCTAAATCTGTTCTCTTTTCTCTATAACGCCCTGAGTTTCGCTGGGAGCCGTTTGTGAAACAGAAGTGCTTTCAGGTCTGCTAGGTCTAGGTTTAAATCCCAGCTCTGTCCTTACCAGCTCTGTGATTCTGGACAACCTCATGCCTCTCTGAGCCTCTATTTCCTTCTGTATAAAACAGGGATGTTACCAACTTTACAAGGATCTTGTGAGGATTTGTAATAATACATGTAAATCGGCTGGCTCCTAATAGGTAGTCTGAGCATAGAAGCAATAGCGGATTAGAAACATGTATTTTTCCACTAAACCACACACATTACAACAAGGTGTAAAAAGATGCAATAACTTAGAGGCTTGTGTTCTAGGTCAGATTCCCTGGTAGGTCAGCAACATCTGGGCCAGAGATAATCGGCTTGCACAGGTGAAAATAAATTTACTCTACACTACTCTTCAAGGAGAAAAAAGGAGAGAAGTTTGGAGGATTTGTTAATTGAAAGGTCAGGTTTTCAACACATTATAGTACATTATCACTTGTAACAGATTTGATTGATGGCAATTAACAGCATGTAAAGCTCTATGAAAACTCCATGGCATCACTCTTATTCATTTAACAAGCCTCTGAGTGCCAGCACTGTATTTAGTGCTTTAATGATTCAGAAAAGCTTTAACATTTATAGTTCTTGCAAGCAAAGAGATAATGGAAGAGAAAATGAAACCAAAACATGAAATCACTGAATATTAAAATTTTGCAAATTGAGCAAATAAAGCCAGAAAGTAGAATTTAAAGGCTAAAAAAATTTTGTTAAATAGATTACATTATAAATAATGACAGCTTCTAGACCCACGAAGAGAAAATGACAACTCCTCACCTTTCAATTTTGAGTCTAAACAGGTCTTCAGGTATTAAATGAGCGCCCTGAGGCAGCTAATTCAAATTCTAAAATGTTACCAAATTTACAGTTGGAAAGCCGACTAAGAATGGGTGAAAAATCTATAGTCAAATCACACTATTGCTATTTTGGGGGATGATGGTGGGCACAGAACAGTTTATCACTCCATAAAAGGTTCATTTGTAGTCTTAAACGCTGTAACCTGTATTTTAATAAAACAGTGGTCTATAGTTGGCCAGCAGTTTCTTAATCATGGTCAAAATACATGACCATCATGTCCACAAATTGTTGGTTTTCTTACTACATTTTTTTTAAGAAGCAAGCAGCCCTTCCTGTTAGCAGAATTATTCTCCAAGAAATAATGATAAACATTCCAAAGGATAAAACAGAACTAAAGGGTGAAGAGAACAAACCATTTATACTTAAAAAAAAAAAAAAAAAAAAGACGACTATACAATTCATAAATCAACTGTTATATACAAGGTCTGATTTTTCTTTAAAACATAGCCTGCATCAATAAGCCTTTTGGCCAAAAAGTTAGAGCAATAAGCATTTGGAAATAATTTTACAAGGTCCTTTGCTGATCTTGATTGTTACTTGTAGCTCTCTTTCCTCATTTCGTTCCATGCTCCTAATACTAGTTCATAGAATGTGGAATTTCTGAAATACCTATCATTCTCTGTAAAGTCCCATAGGATTTCTTCAGGCATAAATCCTGCTAGAAGAAAGCTTAATTATTTGTTCTTAAATTTAAGTAGAATAAAAATTTGATGCATTCAAACTGTAAAATACTACAACTATGAAGAAGCACGAGGTGATTTATAAGCAATGGCTGACAATGAGCTCTAAGACTTATCATTAAGTGGAAAAGGCAAGTTGCAGGATATATAGAGTAGGATGCAATAAAACTGCATCTGCGTGTGTGTGTATGAAGTAGCTTAGAGAAGTTAATTTGGGAAGGGGGTGGTGGAATTTTGAAATGTTAAAAATTATATATTTCTGAATCACATGAATCCTTTATAATTGTAATACATTTATATATTAAAACAGAAAGAATTATTTCAATATACATTTGTGACCTACTTAAATTTATAGAAAATACCACTATATTAACATTCTGAATTAAATTCTTTTGATTTTAACAGGCAAGAATGAGTAAAAGAGTATTATCCCATCCCCAATTTTCTCAGATTTGGGTGCATGAAATTATACTCCTTATACGATAATGCTGACCCTGCCTTAGCCTTCAAGATACACAATCATTTGACCATCTCTTGCCAGCATCCTTTGTTTTCATATGTTCAATAGCCCTTTTCCTTCATTCAAATCATTAGGAAAAAAACCTAAATATTTTTTATTCAATAAAGAAAGCATTTAAACAAAAGCTTTGATTGGTGCCAAGTCCTAACATCATCCGAAGCTCCGCTGACCTTCCTGGTCTCAGTTACTCTTTGCCTCAACATAAAACCAATGCGGGCGGTCCATACACTCAGCAGCCTGAACTGACACAACTCATCTAATCACAAACACCTGTGAATTGAAAGCTTTTTCAAGCGAGCAACCGCATAAACCACCTAGCCTGGAAATCTGTATTTTGACATGCTTCAGCATCTGAAAACCTTTCCTCACTGGCTCCGGGTCCATCCACTACCCCCTGCCCTGTTCAGCCACTTCTCCTGGAACTAACTCTTGTGCTTTGGAGAAAACCACTCTTTGTTGGGCCTCATAGTTCCATACTTTCCCCCTCAGCCTGGCTACTCTCTCAAAACCTTAAGCTTGTCATCCTTAAATAATTAGGATTCACATCAATTCTATTAACTCCCTTTCTATATATATAAGTAAAACATTCTCATTAAAAATAAAAATTTAAAATAGTGCAGAAGGTTTAAAGGAAAAGACAGAAATACTCTTCCTCATCTGAATGGCACATCAGCCTACTATTCAGAAATAGCCACTATATTAACAGTCCAGGAAAATCTAGACGTACATTTTATAAATAAGTTTTAAAGCACCACTGGGATCATACAGTAGATTGTTAAATCTTAGAAAACTTTATATTGCATAAGAAAACAGGTATATCAAAGTTTACAAAACATGGGTCTTTTCTATTAAAATCTGGGCTTTAAGTCCTTGTTCAGAAATATAAGACCCTGATTTAGCCAACTTACATGCTTCTAAATTACAGTGCCTCCTCAAAAATGTAATCCACCAAACGAGGACTGCCAATATCGGTTTAAGAAAAGTTACTGTCCAAGTGAAACTGTGTTCAAATGCATTTTGACGGGGCTGTCATTTGGCAAGAGGGGCTTACTCTGGCCAAGAGACAGAAAAATAAGCTGGGTACCCTTCTCCTGCCCTCCCACAGTACCCATACAGGCTCCATTATAACCTTTTTCAAATTATACTGTAGTTCAGTTCAACAGTTCATTTCAAACATTCTCCAAAAATGGAGTACATGCCAGGTATTGTGCCAGATGCTGAAAACATAAAATTATAACACCCATTCCCTGTCCTGGAGGTGCGAAAGCCAAAGAGAGGGGGTTATGTGGCACTCACAGGGCACTGCAACACAGCAGAGTAGATATTAGAGGCATGTGCTGGGTACATTAGAGGCAGAGAAAATGGATCCATCTCTGCTTTGCCATTATAGTTTTCTTATTTTTCTTCAATCTGTGAATTTCTTGTTTCTAACACGGTGCCAGACACATGGTGGAGTTTCAATGCTTGTCAAGTGAACTAACGTGAATGCCATGTAAAAACTCAATTCCTTTATATTTAAAAACTCTTTGAATGCTAAGTATGAGATTGCTTGCACATGCACTGTAAATATCTAATATAAAAAGGAAAAGCCATGGTTGCTGTAAAGGACTGCAGATCTTACTGGAAGAACAAATAGCCCACCACCTGAAAACAATTATAAAAGAGAATGTCAAGCGTGGCAGGTGATATGTGCTATGAAAGTTTGAACCCTCACTAAGCAGGTTTTAGAGAGACAGAAGGAAGACTCGAGTCCTGGCAAGGGTGATTCCGTTCATAATAAGGCAATGGAGAAAATCCACACGGCGTGTGACAGGCCCAATGAAGAGTGGCTTGAATGAATTAGAGGGTAGATAGAGGGATGGTTACTCAGGTTTAGAATACTGCGGGTGAGGAACTTCACTTCTTATTTACTTAATTTCAAAAAAGGAAGTAAATTATAAATTATTTGTACTTTGGGGGGTTTTAAGTATTTAGCTAACAATTAAAATTGAATAAAAATGAAGCTAGGTCTGATTAAGGCTTGGTCTGGCTAGTAGTGACAGGTTCCCATAGATTCTTTTTTTTTTTTATTTTTTGTTTATTGCAGTAACATTGGTTTATAACATTGTAAAAATTTCAGGTGTAACTCACTGTACTTCTATTTCTGCATAGATTACAT